GTATCAATCTTCTCCATTTTCTCGAAATGGCCATTTTTCCTCTCGCCCTATCTGCCTAGGGACGAGCAGATTTGCTCCCGTCCTATCTATGGACGGGCAGCTTTTTTTCGTCACTTACCCCCGAGTGTCCCGGGGCTCCCCGTACGGGCCACCATCTGCTGCAGTCCGGCTGCAGCAAAATAACCGGGGGGTGACGAACGACTTGTGTTGATTGATACAGCAGGAGTGGGAGCCGTTTATTGCAGGACAGGAGCAGTATTTATACATTCCACACAGCTTATCTAATTAGCATAAACTCGATACAGCACTGAACCAATAAGAAATCTCCACACTTAATGGCTCGCTTTTGTTACTTCTCAAACCACTCCCTCTGGCATTTTGCCAGGCACCATCCAGACTTGTTTACGAACTCTAACATTCCCCTGGCTAAATGCCAGGTGTTATTTTGACTTGTTTACAGACTCTAACAGAGCTCTGCTCTGCTCTGGCCCGGGTGCCCCTACAGGGGGTGCCCACCGCCCGCCACCACCAGTCCATCAAAGGTCCTCCAAACGGGGACTCTGACCATGCCACCTCCTTGACCCCACCATGGCTTCCCCTGGCTCCAGGACAGGGATCCCAGCTCCACCCACCAGCAGGGTGTCCTGGGCTGTGTCCCCCACCCCAGCCACAGCTACGGTCCTGCTTGCCGAGACCTTTTCCCCTGCATCCATCTGCCTGGACTGGTCACTCTGGCTGGCACGTGTCTGCCTCACTGTGACCCTTGGGGTCCCAGCTCAGACGTCATCTCCTCAGCACACCATTGTCTGTACCGTTTGCCTTGGTCGGTGGCTTATTTGTACTGCCACCCTCTGGGCTGGGTGCTGGGAGGCAGACAAGTGCCACTTGGCAGGGGCTTAGCAAATATTTCTTGACATTGGATTACAATTGTTGAGGAATCATGATCCAATATTCCCCTGGGTGACAAAGCAAGTGGCTTTTGCTCCCTGTGGTAAGGTGGCAATGGCTTCTGAAGACACCTCCTGATTCCTGGGGCCTGTGAATGTGACCTTGTTTAGAAACAGTCTTTACAGTTGGGCGCACACTTGGGATCCCAGGGACTCAGGAGGCTGGGGCAGGAGGATCGCAAGTTTGAGGCCAGCCTCAGCAATGTAGCAGCACCCTACACAACTTAGCAAGACCCTATTTCAAAATGAAAAATAAATAAAGGAAGGAAGGAAGGAAGGAAGGAAGGTCGGTCCTGTGCAGGTCATCCGGGATTTTCTGGGGGCCTCTAGATCCAACCCTAACTCCTCCTGAGCGGAGGAGGCAGGAGAATGGGTGGACCCCGAGCAGAGTAAGCAGGCAGAGGTGGAGTGCTGTGGCCACAAGCACAGGACCACCACAGCCACCGGAAGTTGGAAGAGGCAGGAAGCCCCCTCCCCTGGAGCCAAAGCCCCCCCAACCACACACACCTGGACTTTGGTCTCTGTCTTCCGTCTTCCGGAGGATTGTTTTTTTGTTTTTTGGGCAGGGTAGGTGGGTACTGGGGATTGAACTCAGGGGCACTCGACCACTGAGCCCCATCCCCAGCCCTATTTTGTATTTTATTTAGAGACGGGGTCTCACTGAGTTGCCATTGCTGAGGCTGGCTTTGAACTCGCAATCCTCCTGCCTCAGCCTCCCGAGCAGCTGGAATGACAGGCGTGGCCACTGCTTCCAGCTTCCTCACCTCGCCCAGCCAGGACAGGAGACATTTCCCCTGTCTTCAACTTCCCCCATTTGCAATGATTCTTTCCAGCAGCAGCCAAGGGAACCAATGCGAGACGGGTGATGAGTTTCTGAGGACGACTTGACTTTAATGCCCTAGATCCTGGGAGGCGGGAGATGGCTTGGGGAGAGCATATTTTAAGACACTTAAAGGCTGTGTGGGTTCTTGCTCATTTCGTTTCCTTGCTTTCACTGATTAACTGATGAATTTGGGTGCTGGAGATTGAACCAGGGGCTCTAGCACTGAGCTTCACCCTGGCCCTTTTTACTTTTTGAGACGATTTCACTAGGTTGCCGAGGCTGGTCTCAAACTTTCAATCCTCCTGCCTCAGCCTCCTGAGTGGCTGGGATGACAGGGCTGGGCCACCAGGCCCGGTCAATTTATTTTTCTTTAACACATGGCTTTAGGGGCTGGGGCTGGGGCTCAGCGGTAGCGCACTTGCCTGGCACGTGTGAGGCGCTGGGTTCAATTCTCAGCACCACATAGAAATAAAGGTCCCTTGACAGCCGAAAGAAAAATGGCTTCACTTGGATAGAATTCACGTGGCACGCCACCAGGGCCTGGGGGCAGGAGGCCCCCCACCTGCTGCTCTTAGAGGGGCCCTGGCAGCCCTGACACTATCCGGTGCCTCTGTCCCAGACGCCAGTTTCCTTCTTGCGATCTTACTGGCTGCTAAATAAGGATTCCAGGCCCGGGACTTGCAGTAGCCTGTGGCTCCCCCGGGGCCGGCTCCAGTCCTACCCAAGGTTGGTCCCCGCGGCCTGCCAGGGCACACCAGCACACAGCCAGGAAGCTCTTTTTACTGCCCTGAGTGGGTGGGGGTGTTCTTGGTGCCAGCTCGGGAGGAGTCTGAGCAGCCTCCTGCTCCCCCAGATCTAGAACGTGTGCGAACGACACTAGCAGCCAGCTCTGAGCAGCACTGGCTCTGTATCAGGAGCTGTGATCCACCTCCTGTCCTCTGCCCAGGATTCTCTCAAGAACCATGACACTTGTGTGTGACTCTTACTTCAGAGAGGCTCAGAGAGGCTGAGTCACCTGCCTGGGGACATAGTAAACAGGAGAATAATCAAACGAAGTGTGCTTCACCCTGGAGCTGCTCCCTGCTGTGGAGGCCCCTCCACCTACCTCCAGTGTGCCAGTTGGTCACAGGACAGCAGAAAAGAAGGAGCCACTGTTGCTCCTGCAGACCTGGACCTGCTGCCTGGGGGTGGAGGTGGCTGGCAGCTCATCTCGCCTCTGGGGGCTTCTCCTTATCGGGCGGGGCCCTGCCAGCCCTCCCTGCAGACACAGCAGCCTCACAGCCGGCCCAACCTGTTCCCCAGCGAGCCGTGCCAGGGAGACTGGCAGTGGGAGCGAGGAGGGGTGGGAGCACCCAGTGCCAGGCCTGGGGGTGGGAGCAGCTGAGCCAGAGGCAGAGGCAGGGCAGGGGCAGAGGAGGGCCGGCGAGGAGAGCTGGGAGCAGAGTCAGGGCACTGGAGACACGATGTCGACAAAGGACCCCCGCTCAGAGCCCACGCTGGGGTACGAGGGCGCAGGGCAAAGCGGGTGGGGGCTGCTGCTGGGGAGAGGGCGCGGCCGGGTGCTCAGGCCCTGTCCAGCCCTCACTGCCGGGACTTCTGGGCCTCGGTCAGCTCCGGGAAAGCCCTGGGACCCCAGGGCTGGGGAGAGACTCCTGTCCTTCCGGGGGGGCTCCTAGCCAGGAGAAGGTGGGGCCGGCAGGAGCGGCCAGCGCTGTGCTGTGTGGGCAGGCGGGCAGGGGGCTTCTCGGGTGGTGAGGCCAGAGCTGAGCCTTTGGCTTCAGATTTCACGGGCCACATTCCCTGTTCGTGGAGGGTTCTGGAAGGACTATGTTGTCACTGTAGCAAACCTGGGAGCTACAGGAGGGCATTGAGACCACAGCACACAGGGGTGGTGGCGGGCATGTGCATCAGGTCAGCTGTGGGAGGAGAGTCAGGTGGCCTCTTGGAGCCGAAGGTGCCGCATCCTCACGATGGGGTCAAGCTGCGAGGCTTAAATGAGACGCTGCTGCAAAGCCCTCGGCTCCAAGGCAGCTCTGCTCCCCTCCAGCCCCTCTCCCCGGTGTGCCCACCGCCCAGAGGTGCCAGCCCTACTGACAGGTCCCATCAAGGTGTCGCCAGGCCCAGGGACATCTTGTTTTTCAAAGTCCACCCCCACAGGGCCTTGGCAGAATGCTGACCCCAGTCCTTCACCCACCTCTGAGAGGCCGCCCCTTCCTCGCCTCTGCGTAGAGCCAGCTGCGGCTCTGATGGGCTGTGGGAGGAGCCTGCGGCACCTGGTGCCTGGCCCCACAGTGTCACGGATGGCATCAGTACAGGGAGATACAGGGAGCCGGGTAGGAAGCCGAGGTCACCAGAGCCTTGGACCTAGGCAGGGGGACCGCGAGGGCTGGTGAGGGTCAGGGGCCTAGAGCCCAGGCCTGGGAACCCTCCAGGTCAGCCGGGCCGCCCGTGGCTCTGAGCAAGCCCAACCCGCCCAGCCAGCTCCTGTGGGGGCTGTGGGCAGGGAATGGCCCGGCCCTGCTGGGGACAGGGGTCTAGGAGAGCTCCCCAGGCCTGGCGGAGGGAAGGCATGAAGGAAGGGGGGCCCCCAGCCGAGACGGGAGCTGAGCCCACTCAGTGGACGAGTCTTCACTGAGCACCTCCTGTATGCCGTGGCCCTCAGGCCCTCATGGGCAGGGCAGAGCTGAGAGGAGGCCCCCAGTGCCAGGAGTGACCTCATGCTGCCCTCGGAGGGTCAGCAGGTCTGCGGCTGCGGGGGGCGGGTCCCCGCGTCTGGCCCGACTCCCTGCCTTCCCCGTGAGCTGGCCCGCTGCTCGGCTTCCTCTTGCTCCTCGGAGCAGCCTCCAGGCAGACCCTGACCCCCAGGACATCCCCCCGCTGCGCTGACTAGGCTGCTGACCTGCCGAGGCCCCGGGAGGGTGGGTGTCCCTCCAGGGCACTTGGTGGGGATGCCCAACCTCTGCTCCTTCCTGCGGCCACGGGGATCTGAGGCAGGGATCCTGGGCATGGCCCTGGGACATGCTGCTGAAGGTTGGGGACAGCTCACATCCACACACAGACACAGACACACTCATCCCACGGAGACGCCCGGGGCCACCAAACCAGACCAGACACCCTGGGAACGCCTGGGCCACCGGGGTTCCAGCTCCCGCCTGCAGCCCTGGCCCCTGTGCGGAGGACTGTCACCTGTGAGGGGCAGCCGCAGGTCGCCCCTGGAGGTGGAGCACCCAGTTCTCGCTGCCCTGTCCAGCAGGATGGACCCCGTCGAGGACACGCTGCGGCGGCTGCGGGAGGCCTTCGGCTCGGGGCGGACTCGGCCGGCAGAGTTCCGGGCGGCGCAGCTCCAGGGCCTGGGCCGCTTCCTGCAGGACAACCGGCAGCTGCTGCTGGACGCGCTGGCCCAGGACCTGCACAAGGTGGCCGGGTGGGGGAGAGGGTGCCCTGCAGGGAGGGGTCAGGCAGCACAGCTGGGACAGAGGGACCAAGAGCCACCGAGCCCAGCTCCTGCCTGGGCCAGGACCTGTTCGAGGTGGCCGCGGGGGGTCCAGACCAGTCCTTCCCAGGCTGGGGTCATGTCCTCCACAGCATCGCTGTCCCCCCCCGTTAGCATCTTTGCCCACCAAAGTGATTAGCTGTGTCCCCAAATTTATTCCAAATGGGGAACTGAGACACTAGGTGCTGTCACTCGCCTGAGGTGACAGGCCAAGGGGAGGCTGAGTGGCTCCAGAGCCGTCCCAGCCCGTGTGCAGCACCCACGGGGCCACTCAGTGCCCGTGGGGACCCGCTCCCGCCCACCCTGCTGGCCAGGGCTGACCACCGCCTCTCCCCCTCACCACAGTCGGCCTTCGAGGCGGACATGTCGGAGTTCATCCTGTGCCAGAATGAGGTGGACCTGGCCCTCAGGAGCCTGCACACCTGGATGAAGGACGAGCCGGTCGCCACGAACTTGGTGAGCCCTGTGGTCTGACAGGGTGGCAGCAGGGCAGGGGACGGCTCCGGTCCAGGCTCCTTCCTGTCCCCGAGGCCAGGGCCAGTCTTCTCCAGGAGACGCTAATGCACAGGAGCGGAGGACCCAGGCTGCGGGAGGGGGTCTGGTGGTCCTTGGTGGCACTTTACTGTCCTCCCTGCACCCAGCTCACGAAGCTGCACTCAGCCTTCATCCGCAAGGAGCCCTTCGGCCTGGTGCTCATCGTCGCGCCCTGGAACTACCCGCTGAACCTGACGCTGGTGCCCCTGGTGGGGGCCATCGCTGCAGGTGAGGACAGGCCCCGGTCCGCCCTCCCAGGGGCCGCCCCTTCCCAAAGAGGGCCTCCAGAGTTGCGGGGCTGTGGTGGCCCCTGGGTGCAGGCCTGGCAGATGGGGGGACCCTGGCCCCGCCTACAGCCCCCCGTGCCTCTGCAGGGAACTGCGTGGTCCTGAAGCCATCGGAAATCAGCAAGGGCACCGAGAAGGTGCTGGCTGAGGTGCTGCCCCGGTACCTGGACCAGGTGAGGAGGACCCCGCCCCACTAGTCCCCTCCTGTCCTACTGTCCCCTGGGCTTGCCCGCTGACCTCCTGTCCCACCTGGCAGAGCTGCTTTGCCGTGGTGCTGGGCGGGCCCGAGGACACCGGGCGGCTGCTGGAGCACAGATTTGACCACATCCTGTTCACAGGTGAGGGCCTGGCCAGGTCTGGCCAGGGGGCAGCCGGCAGAGAAAAGGGTGGGAAGGGGGGGAAGAAGCCAGAGTCAGGCTGGACGCGGGGTCCAGGGGCCACTCAGCCGGACAGGGCGGCTGGGTCCCCAGGGACTCCCGGAGATTGGATCCTGGGTGGCTGGGCTGGGGACAGATGGAGGCAGGAAGGCCAGGACCTGGGCTGTCTCAGTGGAAAGAGAGGCAACAAGGGTCAGGGGCCCCCAGTCTCTGGCCAAAGGCAGTTGAGGATGGGCAGCCCTGACCGTGTCCCCCAGGGAGCCCCCGTGTGGGCAAGATCGTCATGGCCGCCGCTGCCAAGCACCTGACACCCGTCACCCTGGAGCTGGGGGGCAAGAACCCGTGCTACGTGGATGACGACTGTGACCCCCAGACCGTGGCCAACCGCGTCACCTTGTTCCGGTACTTCAACACTGGCCAGACCTGCGTGGCCCCGGATTACGTCCTGTGCAGCCCCGAGACCCGCGAGCGCCTGCTGCCTGCCCTGCAGAGCGCCATCACCCGTTTCTATGGCGACGACCCCCAGAGCTCCCCCAGCCTGGGCCGCATCATCAGCCAGAAGCATTTCAAGCGGCTCCAGGGACTGCTGGGCTGTGGCCGGGTGGCCATCGGTGGCCAGAGCGACGAGAGCGAGCTCTACATCGGTGAGTCCCCTCTCCCCTGCCGCAGCCCCCTGGGCCGAGGGCCTTCCTCGCTGCAGGGGCCTCGCCTGAAAGCCGGCCCCGCTCCCTGCTGGCCAGGCCTGGGTCCCCGGCCCGGTGCCTGGTTCCAGAACACGAAGGCCCCACGTCACCACGGCCCGGAGCCTGTCTCCTCACCCCAAACTCTGATCCACTGAGCCGGACCCCAGTTCCAGGGTCCGGAGGGTGGTGTAAGCTCCCGTCCTGCTGTCTGTCCTGCCATCTGCAGTTCCGAGAGGCCAGGACCCAGGTCCTCAGAGCCTGGAGAGCTGGGAGGTCAGGCCAGGGGGTCCCCGGCCTGCATCCTGGGCCCCGGCCCTGCCGAATCCCCTCCCCTGGGGTGTCCCTGGGCTGACTGTCGCCGTGCCCGCCCGCAGCGCCCACTGTGCTGGTGGACGTGCAGGAGACGGAGCCCGTGATGCAGGAGGAGATCTTTGGGCCCATCCTGCCCCTGGTGACCGTGAGGAGCCTGGATGAAGCCATCGACTTCATCAACCGGCGGGAGAAGCCCCTGGCCCTGTATGCCTTCTCCAACAGCTCCCAGGTGCGGCCCGGCAGGAGTGGACGGCCCCCGTCCCCTTCCAAGGCCCTGGGGGGCAGATTAGGACAGCTGTCACCTCCAGGGTGACTATGTTCCAGGCTGCCTGGTGTCACTGCCACCTGGCAGAGGGAACCTGGGTGGGGTCACAACCTGCTGGAGCCAGGCTGTCCAGCTGTCTCTCTGGCTGGGCAGCCTCCTCCTGGGGGAAGGGGTGCTCAGGGATCCCCCTTTCTCTGAACCATGTAAAGGCTCCCCACAGGGAGCAGAGCCCCAGATGGGACGGGGGACAGTGCAAGTCCCCACAGTGAGAGCCGGGCTGGTTGCTGTGGGCGGATGCACTTTGCTACAATGTCCTAACGGTGCCACCACGCCTCACAGTCACGGTCACGGTCCCAGTCACAGGCACGCGCCTCTCGCTGCTTTGGGGGCTTCCTCATTTCTGCACCCTTCTGGGATGCTCGGTGGAGGGTGGCGGTGGGAGGCCCGGAGACGTCCTCTGAGTGCGGGACTCGAGCCTCTCCCTGAGCCGCGCCCTCCCTGCAGGTGGTGAACCAGGTCCTGGAGGGGACCAGCAGCGGCAGCTTCGGTGGCAACGAAGGCTTCATCTACATGACTCTGCCATCCCTGCCCCTGGGTGGAGTGGGTGCGTTCCTGCCTCCTGCCCTCCTGTCCCCACCTGCTCAAGTCGCCCCATCACTGCTCACCCTGGGCCTCCAAGGCCTCGGTTTCCCCATCTGTGAATGGTCCCTAAGGGTGGCCTGGCTCTCTGAGCTCCCTGCCAGCTGTGGGCCTCTGGCCGGGGTGGTGGCGGCCCCTGGGCTGGAGGGGACGCCCGGCCTCACGCCCACCTCCTCCGCCCCTGCAGGCCACAGCGGGATGGGCAGGTACCACGGGAAGTTCTCCTTCGACACCTTCTCGCACCACCGCGCCTGCCTGCTGGCCCCCTCGGGCCTGGAGGGGCTCAACGGGATCCGCTACCCGCCCTACGGCCACTGGAGCCAGAAGCTGATACGGTGGGCCCTGGACTCGCAGAGCTGCACCCTTCTCTGAGCCCTGCCCACCTCCAGCACCCACCCACCCTGCATTCTGCTGCCCACCCTGGGCTGCCGGCCGCTACCCACAGGCCAGGGGTCCCTGAAAGGCAGGTGACCAGTCCGAGGCGTGAGGACCCCACTGCTGGGGCTCTCTCTGAACAGACCTCTGGACGGCTGGCCAGTCGCTTTCTGTACCAAAGTCCCTCTGCACCCTCTGACTGGAGGGGTCTGGGGTCTCCCCGAGGCCGGGCAGACGCTGGAGCTGATGAGGGCTTCAGTGAGATCCATAAAGGTGGCTCTGACCCCCCTCCAGGGTCCAGAGTGTGAGTGTGCTGAACTGCCGTCCTGCCATCTGCTGTCCCCCGAGGCAGGATCCCAGAATCTAGGAACCCTCCCGGCTCACTGCCCCGGGGCTGCTTCCTCCCGAGCAGCACCCCAGCCCTCAGGGGGCCACAGGGCCCAGAGAGAGGCCCCCAGTCCCTTCTGGGGGCTTCAGGACGAGTCCGTGGGAGCTGCCGCCCTGGGAGCATGTGTGAACAGACACACACACACACACACACACACACACACACACGCATCTGGGTCTGGGATGTCACCCTCAGGAGTCATATGCCACCCAGGAAGCTGGTGGGGAAGGACAACCAGGGTCCTTCTCTGATGCCCGTTTCCCAGGCCTGGACCCGCCCTGCGCACCACTGCCCCTGGCTAGAAGAGAGCCCCACCCCATGTCCCTAGCAGGAGCTGAAGCCCAGAGAGGGCATCAGCTCTCTCCAGATCACACAGCCTCTTGAGGTCTGGGGGGTCAGAACCAGGGGAAGGGCCCTCCCCTTCCTGGGCTCCCAGGTGTAGCTCAGCAGGCTGCCTCCACACACTCAACTGGGTGCCATTTCTGAGAGCTCCTGCATCAGATTCCAGCCCCCCCCCACACACATTCTATAAATACCCACTGAAATGGGGAAGTTAGACCGCAGCTAAGGGAAGTGAAAATTCCTAGCACTCCCTGCCCTTGCTCTTTGCAGAGCTGGGGACCCAGCATCTCCTGGTAGGGAGCACTTTGGTCTCCAGACAGAGAAGGGTTGGCTTCCAAACAGCCAGTTTCCCTGAGTAGCCCCTTTCTTCCTGTGAGATCCTACATGAGTCAGCAGGATCCCAGCAGCCTGGGGAGGCCTTTAGGATGAAGACCAAGACTTTGCACTCATAATAGGGCCCAGAGACCCCTGCCCAAAGTATTAGCAGGGCCTGGGAGGGAGGGAGGCAGGTTCGTCTGCTGGCTCCTTCCACCACTGCCTGTCACCTGCAGGGGGGGCTCGGCATAGTCATTCCACCTCCTAGAGCCTCCTAGGCTGCCCTCCAGGGGTATAGCCAAGGAAGGGTTAGTGGCCCTCCCAGAGGTCCTCAGGGAGATCTCTGCTGAGGCCCAGGTCCCAGCACGGTGGCTCCTGGAGGAGCTTTTACACCTTTACCACCCTCTGGTGACCCCAGCAAGATGCAGGCACTAGCCAAGGTCCCACAGCCTTGGGAGTAGAGGGAGGAGAGTGAGGGCAGCCAGGCCACACAGGAATTGAGTCTGAGCTGAGTGGCCTCGGAGGGTCAGCCTAGGGGGCTGGCCACCAGGGTCGTGGGCTGGCCTCCATCCGATGTGGCAAAGGCCCGGGAACTGAAGCCTGGGGAAGGTCCCCTCAAACACCACCTGGCATACAAGAGGCCACAGGGGACCCGTCTGGACGGTTTACTGCCTGAGCTCTGCTTCTCTCCTCGGTGACTCTGGACTCTCCTTGTGTCCTGCCCGCAGAGCTGGGTGGAAGAAACCGGCCCTGGGGCTGGGTGAGGGGACTTCACCTTTGTCCCCCGACATGTGTGAGTGGGTGGGAGGGTCGATTCCCCCCACAGTCAACAGGCGACTCCGTTGCGTTGTCTGGAAATAACTAGAATACTGGTGAAGCACCGAGGTCTTCTTTTCAAGCATCAAAGAGCCATAAAACCAGACTCCACTGGGAGCCAATCCTTTGGGATGGGGTGACCTTGGAGTGACCCTGGTCCTATAGGAGTGCAAGGAGTGACCTGCTCTGAGCTAGTGGAGGCAAGGGGACTCTTACTTGGGTGGCCAGCAGGGTGCGTGCCTCCATAGAGACTTTCAGTGGCCAGGTGTGAGCCTTAATGAAGGTGCCCATCCGGATGGACTTAGCCCCGGTTAGCCAGTGGCTCCTGGGTTGGACCCAGGCCCGTCCACCCATGGCTGGACACCTGGCACGCGGCAGTCTGCAAAGCCCAATCTTCTCTGGTCGACATCCAGGTCTTAGGGAACCTCTGCAAATAAGTCCCCAAGGCCGTGCCCAGCCCCTGAGTGACCCTTGGGGTCAGAAGATGGACAGAAGGCAAAGACAGGAACCCGCCTGCAAGACAGAGACCCAGTGGGCTGTGGCGGTTGGGCGGGGCGGCGGTGGGAGGAGACCAGGGCAACCTTTGGCTGCAGGGACCTGCCCATCCCCCACAGCCCTGCTGGCCGGCCGACAGGAGCGCTTCCTGCTTGGAAATCTCCAGGCCCACGATCAGCCCCCGTCCAGCAGGCAGGTGCCGCAGGCAGGTGCCGCAGCCCGGGGCCAGGAAGCCCAGACCCACACCAGCAGGTAGGTAGCGGCCTCCCGAAATCCGGCACCAGCTCAGAGGCCACACGAGGCGCAGGAGGCCCAGGGGTCCCCTGGAGCCTGGCTGCTCCCTGAGGCCGGCTCAGCTTTCCTGTCTGTACAATGGGGGCAGAGTCCTCCTGCTGTCGGGATGCGCCCAAAAGCCTGGCCTCTCTCTCAGCTTAGGGCAGGAACTTCCCAGGCCGGGTGCCACCATCACGGAGCCCTTCTGTGCTCCACCACACAGGGATGTGCTCCGTGCCGGTGCCCCAGGCGCCCCTGCGCCGTGTGGCCGTGACCGGCGGCACCCATGGCAATGAGCTGTCCGGCGTCTACCTGGCCAGGCACTGGCTGCGGGACCCCAGGGAGCTGCGGAGACCCAGCTTCTCTGCCACGCCCGTGCTGGCTAACCCCGCGGCTGCGGCTGCCTGCCGCCGCTATGTGGACCGTGACCTCAACCGCACCTTCACGGACACCTTACTCGTGTGAGTGCCCTGGCCTGGCCGCCAGCGAGGCCCTGCACCACAGCCCCACCGCACCTCCCTCCGCCACCAGCAGGGCCTGCTCCTGCCTCCCCGCTGGTCCCCCTCTGCCTACGCTGCCTCCTCCTCTCTTTTCAGTTTAGAGAAATCCTGATCCATGTCACCTCCTCCAGGAAGCCCTTCCTGATGGCCAGTTTCCCTCAGATCAGCCTCAGGTCCCGTCCACCAGCTTTGTGCTTGTGCGCGCCCTCCTCCTGTGGGCCTCACTGGGTCCCAGCTCCAGGGAGGCTCTGGACCCCTCGGGCAAGAGGATGGGGAAGAAGACCAGGGGGGTGGCCTTAGCTTACTGGGGGACATGGAGCAAGAACTCAACCACAGCCCAGGAGGCTAAATGCAGGGGCTGGGGCTGCACAGAGCACAGAGCCTGGTCAAGAGAGTCAGGGAAGGCTTCCTGGAGGAGGTGATGTCTCCACCAAGCCCCAGAGGTAGGCAGTTGGCCAGGTGAAAGGAGGAGGCCGGGGTTTTCAGTGGAGGGCCATGCAAGGACACAGGCCTGGTGGTGGCACCAGCATGGTGCTGGGGAAGTGTGGCCCAAGTGACAGCATGAGGCAGGTGGGGGCGGGGCCAGGCAGAGCTTGCCCTTCATGGGGAAGGGGGAGCCAACCAGGGCCAGGAGCAGGGGCAGGCCCGGGGCAGGCCTGAGCCACGCTGAGGCTCTCCTGCCGGCAGCCTGAGACGTGGGGGCCGGTGCCCATTCCCACCCCACAGCTCCAGGGCCACTCCGAATGACCCACACGAACTGACGAGAGCTCGGGAGCTGGACCAGCTGCTGGGGCCCAAGGCCTCTGGCTCCGACCGGGCCTTTGACTTTGTCCTCGACCTGCACAACACCACCGCCAACATGGGCACCTGCCTCCTGGTGGATGGCGCCCACAACACCTTTGCCCTGCACCTGTCCCGCCACCTACAGGTAGCCCTAGCCGCTGGCCACAGACCCCAGAGGCCAGGGGGTGGGCAGAGGGAGCAGAGGGGACAGTGTGGGCTCTTCTTGGCCCCTTTCTCCCAGCCAGGTTTCCCTTGGGGGCCTGCCACCAGCAGGCACTCCAGGACCTCTGGGACCCCAGCCCCTCCGGAGTGCAGAGGGAGGCTGCCAGCCAGGGAGGCTGGCCAGGGAGGCCGGAGTCCGGTTCCTTCTGCACACTTCCCTCCTCGCCTGTTTCCCTTCCCACCCAGCTGCAGTTCCCCGAGGTGCCCTGCCAGGTGCTCCTGACCCGGCCACCGCAGTCGGCGAGGGAGAGCTTCAGCCTGGACTCTGTGGCCAAGAACGGAATGAGTGGGCCGAGGGCTCCGGGGAAGTGGGCGGGGCCGGGCCGAGGGGCGGGGCCGGGGCCGAGGGGCGGGGCTCCGGGAGTTGGGGGGGGGGGCCTGGGGGCGCAGCCCGCGGGGACACCTGCCCGACCCCCGCCTCGGGTCCCCAGCTGTGGAGCTGGGCCCGCAGCCCCAGGGCGTGCTGCGCGCTGACGTCTTCTCCAGGATGAGAGCCCTGGTGGCCTCCGCTCTGGACTTCATGGAGCTCTTCAACCAGGGTGAGAAGCCCCAGGCGCTGGCGGGGACCTGAGGTCAGGGGGCCCGTCCAGCGGGGTCGGAGCGGGCGGCTCTCACCCCCAGCCTCCGCCAGGCGCGGCCTTCCCTGCCTTCGAGATGGAAGTCTATAGAAACCTGGGCGGCGAGGACTTCCCGCGCACCCAGGACGGGGACCTGGCCGGCATGGTGCACCCGCAGCTGCAGGTGAGAGGTGCGCGGGAGGCTGGGGGCCACGGCCTTGGGGGTGGAGAGAAACCGGACCCCCGCAGGGTCCCCAGCACCGCATCACCCGGAGCTGGACAGGGGCTGGCTGCAGTCGCCACCCCGCCCCTTCTGTTTCCTCTGGAACCTCCACACTCAGGCCTGGCCCTTGGGGCCACAGCGATCCTCAACTGTGGGCAGAGGGAGGGAGGCTGTGGCCACCCGCTGCGCCTGCGCAGAGGTGCAAATACGGACGGAGCCCTGCCTTGCAACGCCTGTGAGCAGGCTGACCAGTGCCCCTCTCCAAGCCTCCTTTCTGAATGTTCCTGAATCCGGCAATCCGGTGTCTGCTCCTGGTAGAGGGGCCAGTTGCTGCTCGGCTCACAGGGTCACTGTGGAACCGGGTCTCGTGCGGTCCACGGCCCTTGTTCCCTGCAGCTTTGTTTTGAGGTGCTATTTTACTTATAAAGACATTCGGGTGGAGGCCGACCTGGCCGTGTTGAGGTCAGATCCGCCTTGCAGATTTTTAGTGATAGCATTTAGTACCATCACCTGCCACGACATTTCCCTAAACGACAGACAGCATATGGGAACCTGTCCTGCAAGACTCCTGGCTAGTGGCATCTCCGCCATGTCAGCTTGTGTAAATATACCCTATAACATTCCCATGATGACGAAATCAACTAATGTCACCTCTCTTGGAACTAACCCCATCATTAAGTGGCACATGACCATATTATATTGTACTTACTGTGTGCCAAATATGTTTTCAGCACTATTAACCCACTGAATTTAGATCTCAGAATGATAGGGGGAGATATTGTAATCTCCGTTTTACAGATGAGAAGCCTAGGAATAGAGAGGTTAAGGAACGTACTCTAGGTCACACAGCTAACAAGGATTTGAACTCAGACTTTGAACACTGACATGTCTGTGCCCATAACCACTAGGCAACACTTCCATAATGACAACCATCTTTTCAAGGTGACTGATATCTCCATTTCTACTCACAGAACAGTTGGCATGTCACCAGGTACATGTCACATGGATGGAGGAAGTGAAGGGTGAGTGGGGCAAGGCTATGAGGGGAATCTCTTGAGTGTCACCAGCTGGCCTTGGCTCTCCTCCAGGACAGGGACTATGAGCCTCTGCAGCCAGGTGCACCCATCTTCCAGAAGTTCAGTGGTGAGGATGTGCTGTACGAGGGGGACTCCACTGTGTACCCAGTGTTCATCAACGAGGCGGCCTACTATGAGAAGCACGTTGCCTTCCTCCGGACCGAGAAGCTCATGATTTCTGTGCCCCCACTGCCACCGCTGTCACCCACCCCCACGCAGGTTCTCTAACCCCAGCCACACTGCGGGCCTCACCATCCATCTGAGCAATAAATGTCCAGGGCCCATGGTTGGCGTCCTCTGTCCTCCGCAGCCCCTCTCTGGCTGAGGAGGTGGATGGAGGAGGGGAGAGCTGACCACAGGGTCCCAGGAGGTCTGGCAGTGTAGCTGTGGCTGTGCTGTGTGACCTGCGGCCAGTGGTGGCTGTCTCTGTCCACATTGTCCACACACCTGGGGGAAGATCCAATAGTACAGAGAAGAACCTGGAGGGGGACTGTCCTGGCGCCAGCCCCCAGCAGTTCTGTGGCCGGAGGGTGGTCTGGGGGGAGCAGAGACGCAAGCTGCACACTCATTCCCTGTCTGTGCACACACGTGTGCGTGTCTGGCAGTGTAGCTGTGGCTATGTGTGTGTCCTGGGGCCGGTGGTGGCCAGTGGTGCCACCTGGAGTGTGTGTGTGTTTCCAGGAGCCCAGGACCTTGGGCGTTCCTCTGAGGGGTCTGTCCATGGCTGGGCGCAGAGCCCACATGTGCATTTGCCAGTGTGTGGTCATCGGTGACTCTCAAGAGTCGAGCTGGGGTCAGGGACAGCTGTCCAGCTGTGGAGGCACCAGGGAGTCCTAGCAGGGAGCCCAAGGAGGCTCCCCTCCACCGCCTCCACCATCCCCAGGCCCCAGGGGTCATCGGGATCCAGCGCTGGGTCCCTGAGTCCCGACACAGGTCCCCTTCAGGGCGGTCACAGCAGCACAGACAGGGCAGGACAGGGCGGCCTGGCGGGAGTGCCACCGGCCCACAGCCACTCAACCCAACAGGGGCATGGCTGGAGGGGCCGCTGGAGCTCTCCTGCCCCCGCCTGGCCCATCCGTCTCCCCGCGGCCACGGCTGCCACGCTGCCTCCTGGTATTGAGCGGCCAGATGAGAAGGTGTGAAAGACACGAGGGCGCCAGGGACAGGCTGGCAGGCGAGATGGATGAGGGGCAGGGGCCAGCGGGTGCCTGGGGCGGAAGGGCAGCCAGCGGGTGCCTGCTGTGCGCAGGCGGTGTCTGCGGGAAGCCCCAGCGCTCAGGCGTGCGTGTGTGCGGGGGCAGGGGGGGGTGCGCGTGCCCGTGTGGGTGCGGGGTGTTTCCAACACACAGGTCACAGTTGTGCACACCATCAGGAGCCCGCAGAGCCCCAGGCGGGCCACTCCTGGGCGTCTAGGCTGAGGGAAGCCTGGGCCGGGACGACCCCCGCCCTCTCCATCACCCCCCTCTTCTCACCCCCCCACTGGGAGCCTGGGACAGGGTGGCACAGCCACACTTCATTGGGTGGCCCTGGAGGCCAGTGGGACCCTCCACCTTGCACAGAGCCCTCCTCCCGCGGGGCCGTGGCGCGATGGGTGCTCTTCCCTTCACAGCCCTGGGCCCTTGTGGCCCTGCACGCTGGGATGTGGGACACAGGGGACTGAGCCAGCGCCCATCCCTGAGCTGCAGGGAGAAGAGGGTCCGCAGGGGCAGGATCAGAGAGAAGCAGCCCCTCCCACCCCTGTCCCCTGTCCCCGGTGCTTCTTTTCAGGGTGGGGCTTCCTCAGCCAGACATCATACGCCAGACTCTGGGAGGAGCTGTGGGGTCCCGGCGCCACCTGGAGGCTCCAGCCCAGGGTGGGCTGACCCAGGGCAGCCAGGCGCGGACTCCGTGGCCCAAGAGCATCTCGGCCAAGGCACAGGGATCAGCTCAGGGGAAGCCGCTGCTCTACCTCCCTCTGGGACCCTGCAGTCCCCAAGTGCTGGCCTCTGAATGCCTGGCCCAGGACAGGCCAGGACTGCCTGGAGAAGGGGTCAAGTCAACAGAGATGGACTTCTAGGCAGAATGGACACCCACTCAAAGGTCTGTGCCCAGGGCAGCCTCAGAGACTCCACTTGTACTCATCAGGACTATAGGGACCATCACCAAGGGTACTGTCCCCTGCTCCAGGCGGGGAAGGCCTGCTGCCCCCAGGCTGGGCTGGGCTGTCCCGGGTGGAAGACATGATTCGCTGAGGTCAGTTAGGAAGAGTGAGGTACAAGGACCGCCAGGGACCTGCCAGTGTCCCCTGGCTCCTGAGGCCATCCGTCAGGAGGACCCAACCTTCCTCCCACCAGGCTGGGGGCTCGGTGTCGCCACACTCTTGGCTGCTGCCCCTTGCGGTTCCTGCTCAGGTCCCTCCCTGACTTCACACCAGCAGGCCCTGCCAGGGGCCCAGGGCCGGGGTCTGGGTCCTAAGGGGGGGCACCACTTTTGCCATCAATCCTCATCTCCTGCCACCACTGCTCCCTCCCAGTCTCCCCAAGGCCCCGTCGACCACCCCTCCAGCCAGATGGGGCCTCTGGGGACACAGAGCCTGTCCTCAAGTTGGGCTCCCCACTCCCACCTGCACCTGGGCCCATTGATCAGGAATGGCTGGAGGCTCTTGGCTGGGGGAGGGAGGGAGCCAGGGAGGAGGACTGGGAGGGAGGGGGCTTCGTGACGTCAGAGCCTTCCCACTGCCCCCTCCTGCACGTACCCGCCCCTGGAGCTGGACCAGCCCCGCCAGTGGCCCAGCCTTAGACACTGCAGTCGGAGGGTGGCCTGGAGAGGGACCCTGCAGACCCCCGAGCCAGGGTCTCACCTGCAGAGACCAGGTGCACAGCAGCAGGGGAGAACCTCACCAGGAGACGAGGACAGACTGCACAGAGGACCGTGTGTGCCCAAGCCGAGCTGCGGTGCTGGGCGGACAAGCAGACCTGGGGCAGCGGGCGACCCGCCCGGCAGGCAGGGCCCCTTGGGTGGCAGCTACAGCCCAGCCCCAGCTGAGGTTTCTTCAGGAAGTGGACATCTGGGCCATCCCCATGGCAGGTATGGCGTGGGCCACCAGGGTGGCCGATGGGTGGGTCAGGCTCCAGGGTGAGTGAGGCAGGGCTGATGGCTGGAGCCTACAATGTGCCAGTTTTTTTTTTTTTTTGGTGGGGGGGAGGCAGGGGCACAAAGCTGCTTCTGGGAGATGCCAGCCTCATATGTGACCTGTATGTCCCTTGCCATCTCTGGACCTCAGCCCCGACCTGGAGCAAGACTCCTCTAACTTCCCTTCCAGACCTGGCACTCTGTGCCTCTGGGAAAGGTGTGGCTTCTAGAAGATGGAGCACATTCCCCTCCCGGAGTTCCTGGAAAAGCTGAGGGGAACACAGTGACTGGGGTGGGCAGGGTGAGCCTGGAGGAGGCTTGGGGCCAGTGCCACCTGCATGGCCCCCAGGCCCAGGGAAGCTATGAGCCCCTCCCCTGGGACCGTCGCCAAGACCCTGGGGGCTGGCAGGGGCCACCTGCCCAGGCAGAGCAGCTGAGCCACAGGCAGTGGCCCCTTGATGATCTGGCCCTGGGTGGTAGGGGACGTCAACCCATCCAATCTTCCTGTCCCTTCCGGAGACCCTTGCACCCTCCAGGCTGAGAGCCCCAGGGGCCTCTGTTTGTACCCTGCAGAGAGAGCTCCAGCTTCCTCCCACCAAACCACTCCCAGCCCTAACCCCTGGAACCACCGCTCAACTTTTTGTCTCTATGAATTCCACCTCTCGGGTGCCTCTCGCGAGCAGAAGCACACAGTCCCTCCCGGTTGCAGCAAGTGTCAGAAGGTCTTCCCCCCTCTTTTTTTTTTTTTTTTTATTGAGAACTGAACCCAGTGGTGCTCTCCCACTGAGCTCCATCCCCCACACTTTTATTTTTTATTTTGAGACAAGGTCATGCTAAATTGCTGAAGCTGGCCTTGAACTTGTGATCCTCCTGCCTCAGCCTCCTGAGTTCTGGGATTACAGTCACGCACCATGCTGTCCTTCCCTTTTAAGGCTGGATAACATCCGTTGCATGTCTATACCACATTTCATCTGTCAGAGAAAACTTGGGTCATTTCTACCTTTTGGCTACTGTAAATAAATGCTGCTATGAACATGGATGTACACATACCTTTGTTTGGGTTCCTCCTTTTGACTTTTTAGGGTATAGATCCAAAAGTGGATCATATGGTATTTGTTTTACATTTTATATTCTCACCAGCTGTATACAAGGACTCCATTCTGCAAATGCTCACCATTACTTGTTAACCCCTGGGTTCCTTTCTGGGTTTCTTTCTTCTTAATGAGGGTTAATTGGTGTCTTATGATTAGCATTTTATTTTAATGGGGGTGGGGGTGGCAAGGCTTTTGGCCAAGGCTTACTTGGGATTGCAGATCAAAAGATAGCGTGTGGGGGGAAAAGTAAAGGGTCCAGAGCAGAAGGTCTCAGAATGGGCTTCTGGAGGCAGGCTGTGGGGGTTTCAAGGCTGGCCTGAGTAATTCATGGAGGATGGGTTCTTGCTCAGCTCTGCCCTCCTTAAGCAGCACCAGGCACAGGGTGTCCAGAGCGTGGAGAGCCCCAGCTGCTCCCTGCGACCTCGATGCACATCATGTATAACAGGGGGTGTTTGTGAAGGGGCCACTGTGTGCCAGGCCCTGTGTGTGTCCTCCCAATCCTCACATCAGCCCTGGGGGCAGGTCTTAAGAACCCCTTGTGACAGGTATGGAACCTAAGGCTGGAGGTGAGACAACTGCCCGAGCTCTCAGCCACAGGGTCATTTAAAAGTTCCCTGGGGAACCCCGTGTGGTAGTGCAGGTCTGTAATTCCAGCAACTCGGGAGGCTGAGGCAGGATGATCGCAAGTTCAAAGCAATTTAGCAAGGCTCTAAGCAACTTAGTGAGACCCTTTCTCAAAATAGAATATTAAAAGGGCTGGGGATGTAGCTCAATGGCTAAGGGCCCCTGGGCTCAATCCCTAGTATGTATGTGTTTATTAAAAGAAAAAATCCCTGGGGAGGCTGAGCATGGTGGCATGTTCCTGTAATCCCAGCAACTTGGGAGGCTGAGGCAGGAGGACTGATCCCAAGTTTAAGGCTGGCCTTGGCAATTTAAGAAACTGTCTAAAAATAAAACATAAAAAGGGCTGGGGTGTAACTCAGTGGTACAGCACCCCTGAGTTCAATCCCCAATACCCAAAAAAAAACAAAAAAAACCCCACTTCCCTGGGGAGCAAGTCGGGTCCTGTCTATCTCCGCTCTCCAGGAGCTTCTGGGGAAAAGATCTTAAGTGAACATTTACTTTGCGAGTGATGCTGACCAGGTGACACTGGAACACAGGCCCGGCAGGCAGGGGGCCTTGCTCCAGTTAGAGGCACATGGGTGCAGCCTGAGGAGGAGGGCTCCTGGGGGCGTGGCCGGGAGTGGAGGCCGCCTGGGGCCCATGCCTCTGTCCTCTCTCCCCAGCCTTCCTGTCTGCTGGCCTCAGCGTCCTTGCACCCTCGGAAACCTATCCGCTGCCAGTGACCAGCTCCAGTTGGGAGCCCCGCCTGGGGGCGCCGTTTCCACAGGGCCCTGGCACTAGCTCCTCTGCAGAGGCCCACGCCGTGGCTGAGCCCACTGGGCAGGGACCCAAGAACCCGCGTGTGTCCAGCGTGATGGTTCAGCTGGAGATGAAACCCCTGTGGGAAGAATTCAACCAGCTGGGCACCGAGATGATTGTCACCAAGGCGGGCAGGTGTGGGCATGGGCGGCAGGGCAGGGCAGGGCCAGGGATGGGGTTGCGTCGGGCTGCTGAGCACCTCCTTTCCGCAGGAGGATGTTCCCCACCTTCCAGGTGAAGATCCTGGGCATGGACACATTGGCCGACTACGCCCTGCTCATGGACTTCATCCCGCTGGACGACAAGAGATACAGGTGTGGGGCCAGCTCCAGGAGCAGTACAGATCTAGGGTGCTGAGGCCAGGAATCAGACCTGTGACCTGGGCATGGTGGCCATGCCTGTAATCTCATCAACTCTGGAGGCTAACAGGTTTGAGGCAGGAGGATAACAGGTTTGAGGCCAGCCTCAGCAACTTAGCAAGACCCTGTCTCCAAATAAAAGATTAAAATGGGCTGGGAACGAAGCTCAGTGGTGGAGCACCCCGGGGTCAATTCCCAGGACGAGGGAAAATGAAAACCTAAAGGGCAAACAGGCCGATGGTGGGAGGAAGCCCAGATCAGTGGGCTAACCTGGGGGCAGGCACAGTGGTCTAGCCCAGGACAGCGAGGGTTATCTTGACTCCTACGGACCAGGTACAGCCATGGAGAACTGAGGACCAAGAGGACCAAGAGGCCTCGTTGGCAGGGGTGTGCTCAGCAATAGCCCCGGGGCCCACCAGTCTCGCTGGCGTGGGGTCATCCCTCACCACCTCACCCTGCTCCCCAGGTACGCCTTCCACAGCTCAGCCTGGCTGGTGGCGGGCAAGGCTGACCCGGCCACGCCTGGCCGCGTGCACTTCCATCCGGACTCACCAGCCAAGGGCGCCCAGTGGATGCGTCAGATCGTGTCCTTTGACAAGCTCAAGCTGACCAACAACCTGCTGGACGACAATGGCCATGTGAGGTCCAGGCTGCAGTGGGGAGGGACTGAGCCAGGTGTCGGGGGCTGGGCCTCCACTGTGACAAAGCCTGGAGAGCCAGGGCTGGTGGCACTTTTGGTGCCCTGTGGGCTTGGTGCCCAGCACCCTGCCCACTCATGATGGCCACTTGGTGGGGCCCCGGAAGGCACAAAGGACTGTCCAGACACTATCCCAACAGAGGAGCGGGGGAGATGTGGAAGGCCTGGCATAGTGATTGACACTTTATGAGACAAAGATTTCCCACCTTCCCCAGGCTCAAGTCCTGAGGCTGCAGACAGATGGGAGGCCAAGAACCCAGCAGACACTGGAGAGGTCACAGATAGTGATAAATGACAAAGAGCAAAAGGAAACAGGAAGGGTGCAGAGACAGAGGCTGAAGAGGTGATACGTGAACAGCGACCTGAAGGAAGTGGGGGAGGGATGGAGACTAAACATTCAGATTGGTGGTTGTAGGCCAGAGGACAGCACATGCAAAGGCCCTGAGGCCAGAGGATGTCAGGTGACTTGGGGGGCTTCCAGGGACTCCCTGCGTGGCTAGAGAGGAGCAAGGAGGGGAAGTGAAAAAAGAGACCTGTGGTTGGGGCTGGTTGTAGAGGGCCAGGCCCCCCATGAAGAGGACTCTGGCTTTCCTTCTCTGTGGGAGTCTCAAGGTCTGGAACAGGAGCTAAAGGATGGGTCCTGCCAGAGCTGCTGCATGGAGAATGGGCAGAGGCACCCGAAGCGCTCAGGGGAAAGATGACAGTGGCTGGCTGGGTGGGAGAACGGGTCACCTTCTGGATGGTTCTGCAGGCAGTTCGAGGGGTCAGATGTGGGGCAAAAGAAGGACACTTAAATACAAAGGGCCCTGGAACCTAGGACTGCAGGCTCTCTCAAGAAAGAGGGAGGCGGCTGAGGGGTCCTGGCGGAGGGCTGGGGGCTCCGGGGTCGCGGCGTCCAGCCCCCCCCCAACCTCCCACAGATCATCCTCAACTCCATGCACCGCTACCAGCCGCGATTCCACGTGGTCTTCGTGGACCCGCGGAAGGACAGCGAGCGCTACGCCCAGGAGAACTTCAAGTCCTTCGTCTTCACAGAGACCCAGTTCACGGCGGTGACGGCCTACCAGAACCACCGGGTGCGGGCCCGCCTCCCAGGGCGGACACTGAGGCCTGAGCCCTGCGCACCCCCCGCACCCCCCACCCCGCCCTTCGTCCGCAGGCGTCCACCCCAGAAATCCCCCTGCCTCCTGTTCCCTGGCTCCCGAGTTCCTGGGCCAAAGGGCCTGGGACCTGCGGGCCTCCGGACTGGGGTCCCTGGAGGGCGGGGTGACGGGGCGTGGGCCCCACAGCCCGGGCAGCCCCTGACTGCACCTTCTCCTCCGTAGATCACCCAGCTGAAGATCGCCAGCAACCCTTTTGCCAAGGGCTTCAGAGAGAGTGACCCGGACTCCTGGTACTGTCTGGCCTCTGCCACCCACTCAGCGGCCCCTTCCCCTCCCCTCCCGCTCCAGGCATCTCCTGGGGCCTCCCCTGGTGCCGGTCTCAGGGTCGCAGGCCTGGGTCCTTCAACTCCGGTCCCCATTCCTGCTTGCCCCATCTTCAGGCCTGTGGCCCCAGGGCCCCTGCTCAGTACCCCAGCCCGGAGTCGCAGCAGCCTCAGTCCCTGCCTATTGGCAGGCGCCACAGAGCAGGAGAAAGGTGAGGCCTGCGTCACATAGCAGAGGGCAGGGACTAAGGTCTGCATGGGGGCAGGCCACAGGGTCTCCAGGAAGGGACTTGCTCAGCAAATCTGCTGGGCCCCTGTGTGACACCAAGGGGGGAGGCTAAGTTTCCTAAGATGACATGAGGTGCAGGGCAGGGAGAACAGGGTGGGGGACATGGTGCAAGAGCAGAGACAGGGGGTGCCAGGCAGGCTTCCTGGAGGAGGTGGTTCTCAAGCCAGGACTGGGAAAAATTTCAGTCCTGGGTGGGAGGAGTGGGGAAGAAATTTCAGGCAGAAAAGAAAGCAAGGGCAGAGGCCGAGATAGGCCAAGGCAGGCAGGAAGGAGGAGAGGGCGGGCGTGGATGAGGACTGAGAGTGTAAGGGGAGGCCTGGGATCCGCTTACACCATTTTGCTCCCTTAGACCCCAACAAAGCTTCAGCCTCCACCTCCAGGACCCATGTCCGGCTCCACCATCAGCTGCTGCCCTCTCCTGAAGCCCTGCTGGCCCCAGCCACCTATAGGCCCCTCACTTACCAGGGCCTGTACCCTGGAGCCCCAAGCCATCTTGGGATTCCAAGGACCCGACCAGCACCATACCCTCTCCCCAACATCCGGGCTAATGGAGATCAGGGCACCCTGACCCTCCCAGCTGGGCTGGGGCTGCTGTCCCCAACCGCTGCACACCTGGGACCTGGCCAGGACTCTCAGTGATGGCAGAAGCCTTCTACCCTGGACCTTCACCCATGTGAGAGTGTCTCCACCCTACCCCCTGCAGCCCCTCCTGTGCAGAGGCCCCTCTCCACAGAGAGCAGGGTGGCTGGAAGCCCTGTCACAGCCAGGCTGGGACCTGCCAGGCTTGGAACCAGTCTTCCTCCTTCCCACCCCAGCAATCTAGAATCTTGACCCCTTCAGCCTTGGGGGTGATTCCCCCAAACTCTTCTCTCACCTCTCTCTTCCTCCACCATTAAACCATTAAACTATTTGGCATGGGTACAGCACTTGTGTCCTCAAGGGTCAAGGTGGAGGGACTCAGGAACTACCAGGCATGACAGCCCCCATATCAACTCTGTAGGCATCCCAAAGCTCAGTCCAGTGGCTTCCACATCCCTGGGAGTGCAGTGATGGTAAAGGTGGGGACACCATAGAGTCACAGAAGAACTGCACTTAGCCCTGTGAAGAGGGCCCAGGGTCCTACTCCCTGCTTTATGCCCAGAGGAGAACCTAAACTGTGGCTCAGAGAGGCAATGGACCTGCTCAGAGTTACACAGCAAACATTGCCAACATCTGCCATTCCACATTTAAAGACTGTGTGCAAAGCTGGTATGGCCTGGTCCTCGAGGGACCGGGGTCTGGTGAGGGGTGCAGAACCACGATAGGCAGTGGCCATAAAGGCCCCGTAGGGATGGGGGTAGCGATCTGGTGATCAATCAAGACTCAAGACAGGAAGGGAGGGATAAGACCCCTGTCATCTTGGAGCTGAAGTCCAGTCTGATGGAACAGAGAGCAGGACAAGAGTGGGTACAGGGTGAGCTACACATGGGCCCCTGACTCATCTGCAATCCTGGAGCTCTTTCTGTGAGCCCTTCAAGGGAGATATGGACACCGCTGGGGCGAAGGACACTGGACCCGACTCCAAACTCCCTGACCCCGAGGTAGTAAGAGCTGCGTCAGCTCCGATGGGTCTGGAACACACTCCTGCGCTCTCTGGGGGCCTTCTCAGCAGACCACGCCCACGCCCGCCCCACCCGGAAGCCCCGCCACTTAACCACGCCCTTCCGGTCACGCCCCATCTGGAGGCAATGGCACCTGCCTGAGGCCTCGCCCCCGTCCTGCGCTAAAGCGCTTGTGCCCAGGCTCCGCCCCCCAGCCACGCCCCTGTTTGCTTCCCAGGCTCCGCCCCGTCGCCCTCGCAATAACGTCGGGTGGTGGCTCTCCGCAGGCCCCGCCCCGCCGCCCTCCGGTTTGGGGCCCGCCTCTTTTCACTGGAGCCCCGCCCCCTTGCAGGCCCGCCCCTGCAGCACCGTAGCCCCACCCCTCGGGAGCCCTAGGGCCGACACTCCCCGGGCCTGCTCAGGGCCCGACGCTGCCCGCCCCTCGCCCGGTAGGCGGGCGCCGTAAGTTCGCGGAGCTGGGACATGCAGCCTGACTGCCTGTCCGCGGAGGGCGAGCGGCGCTGCAGGCAGCTGCTGGCGAGGACCACTGCTCGGTTCCGCGCGCGGCCCGCGGCGGCCGCGGTGCTCGTCCCGCTGTGCCTTGTGCGCGGGGTCCCGTCGCTGCTCTACACGCTGCGCTCCAGTCGCCTGACAGGCCGGCACCAGGGGGACGTCAGGTACACTGGCCGGAGCTCCTCCCGGCTGCCGGAGGCCGAGGAGTCCCGGAGACGGCAGGGACCTTGGGCAAGGCACTCAGCCTCTCTCAGCCTCGTTCGGCTTCTGTAAAATGGGTCTGGGAGAAACGGTTTGCCCACGGCCTCAGCGAGGACTGAGCGACCCTTGTCCCCTGAGACGGCGCACCACGTCCGCCGGGACTCGAGCTGTTTCCCATCTCTAAAAAGGCAGGACTCTGCCCCCTGCCGGCGGCTGTAGAGAGTCCCAGAGCCCAGGAGCGAGGCTCCCCAGCCTCCAGCCTTGGCTCCGCCCCTGGTGGGAATTAAGGACACCCTGAGGTCAATGAAAGCACCATGGGGCCACCACAGGCAGAATTCTGTGTCTGAGCTCCAGGATCTTCTCGCCCCTGATGGCAGACCCTCATACCCTATCCTGACTGATCGGGGCTCTCTCCCTTACCTATATTGATCAGGGAGGTAAACTGGCTTCTCCAGGTCTTGTGGCTAGGGACAGAAGCAGATGTCTAGGTGGGCTACTAGCCTTATGTCACGGCCCACTCCCCCACCCCTCCATGGCCCCCAGAACATAAGAACCAGACTCCCTGTGCCTGTTCAGTTTCCCAGGCGGCAAGTGTGACCCTGCTGACCAGGATGTGGTGCACACAGCCTTGCGGGAAACCCAGGAGGAACTGGGCCTGGCTGTGTCGGAGGAGCAAGTGTGGGGCATCCTACAGCCTGTGCACGACACGGTGAGCCATCAGGCCCGAATTTACCCTCACCCTGTCACCCACTCTGTGCCCACCCTGGACAGGGAGCCAGAATCCCAGGGTCACAGCTTCCTGCAGGCGTAGGGTATGGAGTAGTAAGCCAGCAACTGCCTGGGAGTCACCATTCCATCCCCACACAACCCTTGGGGCCCCATGTGAAGGAACAGGTTGGGGGGAGGCTTCACAGGATGGGCGGGGACTGAGCTGGGCCTGAATGACAAGTGGGAGATTTGAGATTTAAGGTTATAAAGGTGGCAGGTGGACTAAGTGGGGGTGGGGAAGCAGTCTGCCAAGGCATGACCAGGCCTAGTGCACTTGGCGCCCCGAGACAGTCAGCAGGAGCCCCTGGACCTGGCCATGCCCACCAAAGGCCTATGGATGGCAAGACAGGTCCTCCTCCCTGACTCAGCTCCTGACCCCAGAGCCCCACCCAGGCCATGCCTCCCCTGACGCCTATCCTTCTCCCATCCTAGAGAAAGGCCACAGTGGTGCCGGTGCTTGCCAGTGTGGGCCCACTGGACCTGCAGAGCCTCAAGCCCAACCCTGAGGAGGTAAATGGGGGACTCAGGGGCGGGCTGTCCCCTGGGGGAGGCTGCAGCGGCCAGCCCTCCCTCCACCCTCCCTCTGCCTCCCGCTCACAGGTAGATGAGGTGTTTGTGCTGCCCCTGGCACACCTGCTGCAGACACAGAATCAGGGCTATACCCACTTCTGCCAGGATGGCCACTTCCGTTACACACTGCCCGTCTTCCTCCACGGACCACACCGAATCTGGGGGCTTACAGCTGTTGTCACCGATTTCACCCTGCAGCTGCTGGCCCCTGGCGCCTACCAGCCCCGCCTGATCAGCCCGGAGCTGCACCGCGGCTGAAGGCCTGGCGCTCAGTCACTCCCGCCTTCCTGCGAGGCCCTCTAGGACTGAATAAAGGGTCTTTGACAGCTCTGTTCCTGCCTCTTCTGTGTGGAGGCCCTGACTTTGGGCATGCCCCTGAGGCCACTGGAAGGGCTCCTCAGTCCAGTCGCACTGTCCCCATGTAGGGATCAGTTCCTGTGTGCCAGGTGTGTGGAGCCATTTCATTTCGCCCTCAACAGTCCTCTGGCTGATGAGATTGGAGCTGGGGTGGGGGGATGGATTCCTTGCTCCAGCCTCCGAAGGCTGGGACAGGAGTGTCAGGCTGCTGTGCTGTGCATGCCCCCCCACACCTCCTGTTCCCTGTGCCTGGCTCACCCCTGTTGGGCTTTGGGAGTCCAGAGAGGAATGTGGAGGCCCCTCTCCCTGGATGTCACTGTGCAGTTCCAACTTGCTGAGACCCTGCTGCAGACCAGGTGTTGTGTGGAGGCCATGTCTGTGCTTCAGCCAGAACCTGCCCTGTCCTTCAGAGGTGGTCACATAGATAACAGTGGGACTGTACCTTAGTCAATAATAGTGGAATTAAACATCAATTATGTAGACCAGGATTCTGTAAGAGAGTGAGGGCTAGACAATCTGAACTTTGCATGGTGGAATAGGAGGAATTCTTGGGCAGTACCAGGACAAGTAATAGAAAACTCCATTCACTAGCTAACTCTTCCTGAAGCGGACTGGTGATCACACACTCCCGAAATAACTAGCTTCAGGTATGGCTGGGTCTAGGGGTTCAGGGTCTCTCCCTTTCTCTTTTAAACTGTGCAGGGGCTGTCTCTAGTCCAGAAACATAAGAGATGAAAGGGCAACAGCTTCCTATCAAAAGAAAACACCTCTCGCCGGGTGCAGTGCGCTCGCCTGTAATCACGAGTTCAAAGCCAGCCTCAGCAAAAGCGAGGCACTTAGCAACTCAGTGAGACCCTGTCTCTAAATTAAATATAAAACAGGGCTGGGGATGTGGCTCTGTAGTTGAGCACCCGAGTTCAATCCCCAGTAGCTTCTCCACCTCCACAAAAAATAAATAAAGAAAAAAAAAAAACACCTCTCCTGGCTGTCTAACTCAGGATTGCACTTGATTAGCCTCCCTGGTCACATGCCCTTTCCTGACCCCAGCACATGGCATGTAGGATTTAAAGTGTATGGATTGACAGGGCTAGGGGTGAATCCCCTGCACTAAAAGTAGAGAAGGGTGGCCCTTAAAGAACACCTGAGGGGTACATCATTTAGACTCAGCTCTAAGACCTGAAGAGGTGAAACTACTAGAACACACACAGAGGAATCACTCCAGACGTTGGTCTGGGCGATGATTTCTTTTATAGGACCCCAAAAGCTCCGGCAGCAGAACCAAAGATAGACAAATGGGACGACACCAAACCAAACGCTGCTCAGCAAAGGAGAAAATCAACAGTGAAGAAACACCGGGAGAAAATGTGGGTGAGCCAGACGTTTGGTAAGGGGCTAAGGTTCAAACTCTACAGCAAGAAAACAAACAGCCCAATCCAAAAACAGACGTTCTTAAAAGAAGACATTGCAATGGATGTAGGGAAAAAATATTCAACATTCTAAGCACCAGGGACATGCAAGTCAAAACCACAATGAGATCTTACCTCAACCTGTTAAAATGGCAATTTTTAAAAACATTTATTTTTTTAGTTGTAGTGGGGCACAATACTTTTATTTTTTTATTTTTTATGTGATGCTGAGGATCGACTCCAGGGCCTCGCACGCACTAGGCTAGTGCTCTACCGCTGAGCCACAGCCTCAGCCCTAAAATGGCGATTTTTTAAAAATGAAAGAGGGCTGGGGCTGCAGTTCTGTGGCAGGGCACTTGCCTAACGTGTGTGAGGCCCTAGGTTCCCTCCCTAGCACTGCAAAAAAATAAAAAATAAAAAAAATAAAACCCCAAACAAACCACAAAAGAAGAGTCTGGAGCAAGTGCAGAAAAGAAAACCATTAACTAATCTGGGTGGGACCATAACTAATATGTATAGCCATGTTGGAAAACAGTATGAAGGTTCCTTGGAAACCAAAGGGAACTACCATATGACTTAGCACCCCGCTTCCAGGTACATACCCAAGGAAATCAAAACTGGTCTGTCAAAAAGATACCTGCCCGAGCTGGGATTGTGGCTCAGCTGTAGAGCGCTTACGTAGCACGGGCGGGACCCGGGTTTGATTCTCAGCACCACATAAAAATAAAGGCATTGTGTTGTGTCCATCTACAAAAAAAGATTCTCCCTCCCTCCCTCCCTCCCCCCCCCCCCCCTCACTCTCCCCCCCCCCCCCCCCCCCCCTCCCCCTCTCCTTTAAAAAAAAAAAAAAAAGATGCTTGCCCCCCTATTCACTGCCAATAGCCAGAACATGGAATCAACCTAATGAATGAATAAAGAAGATGTGTTACATACACACATGGAGTATTTTTCAGCTTTAACAGAGGCAATTCTGTCATTTGCACCAACACAGATGAAGCTGGAGGGTGTTATGATAAGCCAAATAAGCCAGGCAAAGAAGAGCATGACACCATCTCACTTTTATATGGAACCCAAGAAAGCTGAGCAGGGTGTGGTGGCTCAGGACTTGGGAGGCTGAGGCAGGAGAACTGCAGTTCCAAGGCCAGCTTGGGAAATGTTGTTTGACCCTGTCTCAAAATTAAAAAATTTAAAAGTACTGGGACGTAGTTATAACAAGACATCTATTGAACCCCATAAATATCTACAATTGTTATTTCTTGGTTAAAAATTAAGAGACCAGGGGCTGAATGTGTGGCTCAGTGGTAGAACATTTGCCTGGCATATGTGAGACCCTGGGTTCTATCCTCAGCACCACATATAAATAGATAAATAAATAAAATAAAAGATCCATTGAAAAAATACGTGCGTGTATATGGGGCTGGGATTGTGGCTCAGTGGTAGAGTGCTTGCTTCAGATGTGTGAGTCACTGGGTTCAATTCTCAGCACCGTATATAAATAAATGAATAAAATAAAGGTCCATCAACCCTACAAAAATATTTTTAAAAAAGAAAAAAATGTGTGTGTGTGTGTATATATATATATATATATATATATATATATATATATAATTTTATACATATATATATACACACACACACATATATACAATTACATACATATACATATAATTTTTTAAAAAGATTAAAAGATCACAAGGAGAGGGATGCTGGGCAGTTAAAGCCAGGGAGTCAGGTAGGCAGGGGGCTAGGTCAAAGGTCAGTTCAGGCAGAAGGTGCTGCTGGGCAATGCAGGGAGGTGAAGGGACGAAGAGCAGGTGGAGAAGGGAAGGGGGCGGCTCACCACATAGAGGGCCACCATGGGATTAAGGAGCGCCTCCTTGGTGAGGAGACAAGGGACACCCTCAAGGATGGGTTAGGATTGTATTCCCAGCCAGGAGAGCGGGTAGAGGGGTGTCCAAGTGACCTTGAGCTGGCCACCTCAAGGGGTCTAAATAGCAGGGCATGCTCCCCTGCACCCCGCTCCCCACATAAGCTCCCATGTGCCCGCTCTCCACCCCGCAGGGTCTGCCCCCCAGGGCTCCCTCCTCCCCACCTGACCCTGCCTTCTCACCTCCCTCCTCCTCTCCTGCAGCCCTCACTTCCCATGCTTCTCCGCCACCCCTTTCCTCACCTCCGGCCCTCCAGCCTCCTCACCCGAGAGCGGGACCGCCTGACCCTGGTAAAAATAACTCCTCTGACAGCGTGTGAACAGAGGGGCAGCGGGAGGGGGAGCTGAGCCCCAGCACTAGGGAGGGGCCCTTGGGGGTGAGGGCGGGAGGTGCCGGCTCCTGATTCTGAGTCTTTCTCCTGCTCTGTCACACCCCTGCCCAGACGGTCACCTCTGCCGTCCCAAGCGCACCCAGCGCCCGCAGCTGCGAACGAAGCCCGGTGGAGCAGCTCTAGGTTGGTAAGGAGCCCTGCGGGCTGCCTCCCGACACGCCCGTGCGCCCCCAACTCGCCCCGACCCTCCAGGCTGGAGACCTTGACCTCAGGACTCCCGCTCTGCCCTAGAACGCCCCTGATGGCCTCAGCGATGCCTCCTCGCTCCGTCTCGGTGGCCGGGTGCGTTCCCCCAGTCCCCAGTCCGTCAGGGTCGCTCTGAGCCGGTCCGCATGTCCGAGCCCCCATGGAGGGCACGGCGCCCCCGGGCCCGCGGCGGCCGCCGAGGGTGAGCATGCAGGAGCACATGGCCATCGATGTGAGCCCCGGCCCCATCCGGCCCATCCGCCGCATTTCCGACTACTTCCCGCACTTCTACGCGTTTGCTGAGCCCGCGCTGCACACTCGTGACCAGCGCGCTCCGGCCATCCTTTCTGCACCCCCGCCGCAGCCTGACCCAGAGCCACCGGGAGACTCGGACGACAGCAGTGAGTGTGTGTGGGGGGGGCAAGGGGGTACCCCCAGGATGGTTTGGGGTGTCCCTAGCATTCCCGTGGAGGGGCCAGGCAGAAGGCACCGTGCCGTGGAGAGTGGGCAGGTGAGCCGAGCTGGCTGCTGACCCTACCTGCCACCTGCCGTAGCTGCGCTGGGCACCCTCGAGTTCACACTTCTCTTTGATGCGGACAACAGCGCCCTGCACTGCACTGCCCATCGCGCCCAGGTGAGGATGGGGGCGGGGTCCCTGGGACAGGGGGCGGGGCCACAGGCTTACCCCACATCCACTTTCTGTTCCCAGGGTCTCAAGCCACCGGCCTCAGGTTCTGTTGATACCTACGTCAAAGCCAATCTGCTGCCAGGGGCCAGCAAGGTGAGGGCAAGACCCAGGTCTCTACTGCTGCTCTCTGGCAGGTCCAACCCAGGGCACCCACCTGGCCCCAATTTGTCCCAATCCCCAGGACTTAGACCTCAGTTGCTGGGATCAAGGAGGCAGGGCAGGGGGCCAGGGAAGGTTTCTGACCCACCCCACCTGGTATCCAGGCCAGCCAGCTTCGGACCCACACCGTTCGGGGTACAAGGGGACCTGTCTGGGAGGAGACACTCACCTACCATGGCTTCACCCGCCAGGATGCTGGGCGCAAGACCCTGCGGT